CCGGGACAGAATCCGGCGCCCCAACCGGGACTAGAACCCGGTGTGTCGGCGCCGCAAGGCGGAGGATTAGCCTAGTGAGCCATGGCGCCGGCTGTTCCATTCATTTAAGTTCTGTTTTATAGAGTTTCTGTCGTCATATCTAAGAAACCATTATGGGGCAGGATTTGAGTGCAGATGACCTGGTTCCAGCATTCATGTTCTTAACCACTACATTACACAGCCTGCTTGGCAGATGAGTCACTTTAGTAAAATTACACATTAAGCTATCATTTTGAGAACTTCCTGTTTAACCTGAAAAATACTCATAGGGCAAAGAGAAACCCTAGCACAGATCTCTGAAGGATTCTGGGCAAGAATTTTCATGTCCATTTTTTTAGGGAAAAAGACTCAGGTGAGATAAGGGCAGGCCCCCAGCCTGCCCACTGAGCTACACTCCCTGCAGCACACCTCACCTGGCTGTGACGCTCATGTGCTTCCTCTCAGTCATCACAGTTTTCTTGCAGAGTCACGCACAGACACACTGAAGGCTGAGCTTCCCAGAAGGGTAGTGGGCAGGGATGTAGTTATTCCAGGGCTACCAATAAGCCACACTGGGGTTCTGAAGCAGGCAGCCCCTCTGTAGGGACTGCTTCTCCATGATAGCTACCGCCAAAGGAATCTACCTGCAAGGAAAGGTGTTCTCTCCACCGTCTATGATACCTGCTTGCTGTTTAATGTCCCCAGCTACATGCAGCATGTGTAGGAGTGCCTCCTTTTCTGTGCTTTCACGTTCCATAGTGTCACTTTCCCAGAGCCAACCACAGTCTGAAAATATTAAGTGGAAAAATTGCAGGAATAAATAATGTATAAGTATTAAATTGCATGCTGCTCTGATTAGTGTAATGAACTCTTGTGCTGTTCCATCTTTATTATACTATATATATAAAATCTAACAGTATATTATCATAAGTGTCTTATTATTAGTTGTTAATCTCTTACTGCGCCTAATTTATAAATTAAACTTTATCATAGGTTTGCATGTATAGGAAAAAACATAGTATATATTGGGTTTGGTGCTATCTGTAGTTTCAGGCGTCCACTGGAGGTCATGGAACATGTCCCCCATGGATAAGGAATGACTACTGCACAGCAGTATTTGGAGTTGAGAAACAGTGGGACACAATGGACCAGAAAACAGACAGTACAAAGTCTCATTATATCTGGAATTGAGGTTACAAGTCAAGGAGTAATGTAAACCTAGTCCAGGAATTGGAGAGCAGCTACTACAGAGTGGTTAAAAAAAATGAAATCCTGTCGTTTGCAACAAAATGGGTGCAACTGGAAAGAATTATAGTTAGTGAAATAAGCCAGTCCCCAAAAGACAAATACCATATGTTCTCCCTGATCTGTGGTAACTAATAGAGCACTTAAAAGATAATCTATAGGAGTGAAATTGACACTTTGAGATACAATGATTTTTAATAGTAGCTGCCTTGACTGTTGAGGAAAAGTGGTGTTTTTTTTCTTCATACTATTTGTTGAGCTCTTTACTTAGTGTAGGGTTAATCTTTTGAGTGTATAGTAAACTGAAAATAGATTTTTGTAAAAATTGAGTAGGAGGGGCTGACTTTGTTTGGGGCCAGTGCCATGGCGTAGGTTAATCCTCCACCTGCAGTGCCAGTGCCGGCATCTGATATGGGCACCTGTTATAGTCCCAGCTGCCCCTCTTCCAATCCAGCTCTCTGCTATGGCCTGAGAAAGCAGTAGAAGATGGCCCAAGTCCTTGGGCTCCTGCACCCGTGTGGGAGACCAGAAAGAAGCTCCTGGCTCCTGGCTTCAAATCGAGGCAGCTCCAGCCGTTGCAGCTATCTGGGGAGTGAACTAAAGGAAGGAAGATGTTGCAGTTGATTTCTCAACAATGTTGCAGTGGATTTGTTTCTGAGAGGAGGAGCGTGGTGGGGGCAAGAGGCCCCAAGTCACGACACAGACCCCGGGAGTCGGGTGAAAGCGTGTTTTTTTTTTTTTTTCTTTGACAGGCAGAGTGGACAGTGAGAGAGAGAGAGAGAAAGGTCTGTCTTTGCCGTTGGTTCACCCTCCAATGGTCGCTGCGGCCAGCGCACTACAGCCGGCACATCGTGCTGATCCGAAGGCAGGAGCCAGGTGCTTATCCTGGTCTCCCATGGGGTGCAGGGCCCAAGCACTTGGGCCATCCTCCACTGCACTCCCAGGCCACAGCAGAGAGCTGGCCTGGAAGAGGAGCGACCGGGACTAGAACCCGGTGTGCCAGCACTGCAGGCAGAGGATTAGCCTATTGAGCCGCAGTGCCGGCAGAAAGCGGGCTTAAGGCAAGCAGCCCACAAACTCGTTTATTTCAGTTGGTACAACATCTTACATAGCCAAGACCAGCCAATCTGGTCAAGGGGCAGTCTATTCCCCAACCAATCACAGCCTGTTGCCAGGCAGTTTCCAAAGCCATCCAATCACAGCCTGTTGCCAGGCAGGCTCCATTGCCAGGTGGAATTCAAAGCTACCCAATCACAGCCTGTTGCCAGGCAGGCTCCATTTGCCATGTGGGTTTCAAATCCATCCAATCACAGCCTGTTGCCAGGCAGGCTCTGTTGCCAAGTGGGTTTCAAAGCCATTCCTGAGTAACTGATGCTCGCTTGCCAGTGGCCACCTTGGCATGGCCTTCTCATTCCACACAGGAAGACCTTTCTCTCTGTCTCTCCCTCTCACTGTATGTAACTCTACTTCTCAAATAAAAATCTTAAAAAAAGAGTGGGAATAGGAAAGGGAGAAGTAAGAAGGGTGGGAACATAGGCTGGAAGGAAGGTAGGGTGGGAAGTATCACTATGTTCCTGAATATGTATTTATTAAATACATGAAATTTATATACTTTAAATAAAATTTTTAAAAAGCAACAGGAACAGAGGAAGGTGGTTCCAGGTAATACCTCACAGCTGAAGAAACATTCAGAAACCCTAGAAAAGTCATAGGATCCAGGAGACACTCTGTCACAACCTGACAGAGTTTGTATCAAAGACCAGAGAGGCCAGGGAACAATACTTGCAGTTCGAGGACAGGCAGACTCTAGAGCAGCTAAATGGAAGAGGAAACCATCCATAAATGTCATGGAGAGATAGATAAGGGAACAGATTCTAGGGCTGAGGGAATAAGCAGAGAAACAAGGAAGCAGGTGGAGGACCAGAGAAAATGGACTGAACTTGAGAACCAGCAGGATTATCAAACATCTGAAGAGAACACAGTCCTTGTATTTGGAAGACAGAACAGCCAGGCAAAAAAAGAGATAGACTTCCCATGCCCCGCCCCAACAGCCCAAAACACCAAGGAAGAGTCTATAAATCTCAGTGAACAGAAAAACAAGAAAACAGCCTGATGGCGTGGCGGATCCACCAGAGTGAAAGGAATAATTGCAGGGAGTTGAAAGAACAGCTAACAAACCAGCATACAGAGATAAGGGAGCAATGACTGGTTCTAATATAGGGTCATCAGAAGCCATGCAGTGTCATCACAGAGATCAAAGCCACTACATTGATGAATAATGAGAATTCAACAGAAATAATGAGATAACATGATGTCAGCAGACACAGCCACGGGAACTCATGGAGAGGGGGGCGGTGTCAAAAATATTGTGCCAGAAGCTAGTACAGGGTCATTTGAAACCATGATAGGCTCTAATGAACCCAGGCACTATTCTGGGCTCCTAAGTTAGCACTCAGTCCTAGGGGACAATGAGTCATCAGCATGCACAGGTATGTGTCAGTGAATGGACTGACACCATGATGAAAACAAGATTGCTTTCGTATGGGCTAATAGCCAACCAGCAGAGTGATGAGGGCTAATGGGGGACCAGCAGACACTGGACTTATTTTTCATGAAGGTCAAAGACACTATTTGTTGTCAAGATTAGCAGACACAAGTGATGATGGGGGGTGGAGGTCAGCAGCCTAAAGGGAATGATAAGAACTACTATGCACTAATGGGGTATTGGTAGACACTGGGATGATAGTTACTGTGGTGGGCTAATGGAGGATCAGGGGAGCCTGCACTTAGGCTAGAGACAGCCAAGTCTACACTGTAGGGTTGGCTGGTGGGGAGCACCACGGGTGGTTATGGTAGTGAATGGAGGGTCAGCACACCTCAGCGGGAAGGGGGCTTAAAAGAGGTCATTTTCATGGGGGCGAGACAATTTCTAAAGACTCTTTCAACAGCTCTAGTGGGCAAGAGTCCTTATTTTCTCCCAGGCAGCCCAGAGCCGGCTCCTGGTGTGCAAATGGGAACTTTAGTTTACAAATTTTACTTGAGATGTCATTTATATACATATTTATATATGCATATATATTTTCATAAATCTTAAGTTTACCATTTGATGACTAATGTATACAACCATTAACACACACTTCAATCAAGATACGGAGTATTTCCATTACCTCAGAAAGTTCCCTCCTACTTCTTCGGAGTTAATTCCCACCCCCAGAGGATATATTTTCTGTCACTATAGATTCCCTTCATTTAAGCCTGACATTTTCCAGAATTTTTAAAAGATTTATTTGAAAAGCAGAGTGAGAGAGAGACATAAAACATCTTCCACCTGCTTATTCACTCCCCAAATGGCCACAATGCCCGGGATTGTGCCAGGCCAAAACCAGGAGCCAGAAAATCCATCCAGGTCTTCCATGTGGGTGAGGGACCCAAGTACCTAGGCCATCTTCCGCTGCCTTCCCAGGCACATCAGCAGGAAGCTGGATAAGAAGCAGAGCAGAACCAGCATTCTGATATGGGATGTTGATGTCACAAGTAGGCTTAACCCATTGTGCCACAATACTGGCCCCATAATAGGAATTTTTAAATATCAAATTTAATGAGCTTAATGAATGAGCTAGAGATTGGAAGAATTGATGTGAAAGCATCTTGATGCATTTAAATAATAGTAAATGAAAATGAAGACATGTTATATGAATATAGAAAGCATAATATTTTTATTCAAGTATTATAGGGCATCTGATGATTCAAATACTTTGGGTCATCGTGATCATGATGGGACATTCAGAAAAGAAGCAAAACAATTTATCAATTGATTGATTTAGAAAGCCAGAGTTACAGAGAGAAAGGTTTTCCATCCACTGGTTCACTCCCTAGATGTCTGCAATGGTCAGGACGGGGCCAGGCTGAAGCTAGGAACCAGAAGCTTCTTCCGGGTTTCCCAGATGGGTGCAGTATCCCAAGCGCTTGGGCCATCTTCTACTGCTTTCCCACGCCATTAGCAGGGGCTGGATCAGAAATGGAGCAGCCAGGACACAAACTGGTGCCCATATGGGATGCCAGCATCACAGGCAGTGGCTTTACCCTCCTGTATCACAACACTGGCCCCACAGAAAAGTATTTAATTTAGCATCAGTTTGTTGAGTACTACAAAATACTAAAGGTAAGGAATTTTACATTTGCTTATCAAAAAGGTGCAATAAAAACCATTGTCAAAGTTGAGAGGTTCACCATTAACAGACCCCTACTAGAGGAAACAACAGGGTATTTTCCAGGCAAAGAGGAAAATGATCCTGGATGAAATACAGAAAGTAATGAAGAGCAACCAAGGTGGTAAATATGTGGATAAAATGAAATGTACGCTGCCCACATAAAGCAAAAATGATCTATGGGGAAGCATGTGTGTGACACACATTACACATAAATCTATGTATATGCTTATCCATGGGGGATTGATTTCAAGACCCACTTGCAGATATCAAAATCCAAGGTTACTCAAGTCGTTTATATAAAAGGACATCATATTTTCGTAGAACCTACACACCATCCCATACACTTTTTTTTTGACAGAGTGGACAGTGAGAGAGAGAGACAGAGAGAAAGGTCTTCCTTTTGCCGTTGGTTCACCCTCCAATGGCCGCCGTGGCCCGCGCACCGCACTGATCCGATGGCAGGAGCCAGGTACTTATCCTGGTCTCCCATGGGGTGCAGGGCCCAAGCACTTGGGCCATCCTCCACTGCCCTCCCTGGCCACAGCAGAGAGCTGGCCTGGAAGAGGGGCAACCGGGACAGAATCCGGCGCCCCGGCCGGGACTAGAACCCGGTGTGCTGGGGCCACTAGGCGGAGGATTAGCCTATTGAGCTGTGGCGCCAGCCCCCATACACTTTCAATCATCTCTAGATTGATTACTTATAATACTTAATACAATATAAATAGTTGTTATACTATGTTATCGGTTGAGTAGGACTTGTCTCCCCAAAACTCATGCAAGATGTTTAAACTGATGTCAAAATGATTGAAAAAATAAAAAGACAAACTATATTCATGGATGCAAAGGCTTAATGCCATTTCAAACCTTTCATAGATGCTAATTTAAAGGACCAATAGTAAATGCTGATGATTGTGAAAAATCAGAACTTTCTGAAACTTCTCATAAGTATATGAATTAATACAATTTGGAGGGAGAAATAAATACTTAAGTTGAAAAACGTCCATATTGCTCAAGGTCCAACTAGAATACAGAAACACCAGTATTTAAGATTTATTTTATTTATTTTAAAGACAGTTACAGAGAGGTAGATACAGAGAGAGAAGTCTTCCATCTGCTGGTTCACTCCCCAGATGGCTGCAAAGGCCAGAGCTGTGCCGATCTGAAGCCAGGAGCCAGGAGCTTCCTCCAGGTCTCCCACATGGGTGCAGGGGCCCAAGGACTTGGGCCATCTTCTGCTTTCCCAGGCCATAGCAGAGAGCTGGATTGGAAGAAGAGCAGCTGGGACTAGAACCATGGGATGTCAGTGCTTCAGGCCAGGGCTTTAACCGGCTGCGCCACAGCACCGGCCCCATCAGTTGTTTTTAAAGAGGAAACAATAACTTTATAACTGGTTAAAAATTATATAACGACATAACTGAAGAGCAAAAAAGAGGCAATTCAAGTTCTCAGGGAGGTAGCAGCTTGAGAAAGAAGCTGGCCTAGGACAGTAACAGGGACGAAGGTGGAAATAGTGAAAATTAGAGGGGTAGAGGAAGGCTCCCACAGGGCTGAGACTCACACCTCTAAAGAGGTGCACTACCCAGCTGATGCTTGTCTCCAAGGGGAGTGGGCTCCTTCTGGGAATGCTGGAAAATTGCAAACTGGTGCTACAATAAGGAACTGCTGCTGCCCGCGTGAAGAAGCAGTGCTGGCAGACACCCAGAGGAACAGAAAGCTAATATGAAGGGGAAAAGGGAAAGGAAGCAAGTCCCTTCCTTTCCTGGCTCCAAAGGTTCTATCAAGTATTTCATATTGGCAAGGCCCGAGAGGGAGCAGCTGGAAAGGTTTAAATCTGGTTGGAAGAGCCAAAAAGTGCAGTCTGGAAGGATGGGTTTGGAGCTTATTCACTGGCACACTGCCTACACCCATTGACCCAGAAATTCCACTTCTAGGTTTAGACACTAAATACAGAAACAGTGTCTTTCACTAGGGGAATGGAGAGGTAAATGAACAAACCTAATTTGTATTTGACAAAGATCTTGGAAAAGTAACATTGCATGAAAAAAGGCAAGCTATGGCACATTATAGTGTGATGGCATTTATGAAACAATTTTAAGACAATATAGCATTATTTATTGTAGACTTCATACTACCCAAAAAAGTCTCATAGTACATTAAAATTCTAAATGTTAAAAGGAGAGATTTAACCTTACAGGAAAATGCAGGGGAATATAATCTCCTTGAGACTGACAATACTAAAACATAGAACTTCTGCTGAAAAGAAGAAACAAAATTAAAGAACCAGCCCCAGCCCAGGAGAAGATACCTGCAAAGCATGACTGAAAGAAGATTTTCATATTCTCCGATATTAAACAATAACAGCATTTCAACTAAGAAGCAAAGGATGAACAGCCTAGTAGAAAACCATGAGCAATGGATGTGAACTGTCAATATCAGGAAGCAAAAACCCAAATGGCCCATCAACAAATAAGATGTTCAATCTCCCCACTAATTGGGTAAGTACACATGAAAAGAACAACGAGCTATCCCCTAAGGGCACAAGGACATTTCACAGGAATACAAAATACTAAATACAAACACACTGGGTGCCCTGGTGACCAGATCCCCCAAGACACTCGATCCACTGGGGAAGGGAGAGTTTAGGGAGACGTTTTCTCCATGGCACAAGGCCTGGACCGACCTATGTGAGTTCTGTGATGTTCCGTGAAGTGTGCCTTCTGGCAGAAAGCCTTCCCACATTCTTGACATTCAAAGGGTCTCTCCCCTGTATGAATCCGCTGATGCTCAATGAGGCGCACTTTCACATAGAAGGCATTGCCACATTCCCCACATTCGTAAGGCTTCTCTCCTGTGTGAGTCCTCTGGCGTTGACAAAGGGATTTCTTCATCCTGAAGATTTTCCCACACTCACTACACTCATACGGTTTCTCTCCTGAATGCATTCTCTTGTGTTCAATGAGGCGTGCTTTCACGTAGAAGGCACCACCACACTCGCTGCACTCGTAAGGCTTCTCTCCCGTGTGAATTCGCTGGTGGATCCCCAGGGAGGAGTGCACCCGGAAAGCCTTCCCACACTCGTGACACCGATAGGGCTTCTCACCTGTGTGCGTTCTCTGATGAGAGTCATCGTCATTCGAAAGCATTTCCCACATTCTGCACATGCATAGGGTTTCTTGCCTGTGTGGATTCTTTGATGTTGATTCAGGGATTTCTTGGCGCGGAAGTTTTTCCCACAGTCCCCACATGCATAGGGTTTCTCCCCGGTGTGGGTTCTCTGGTGAATGGTCAGGGTGGCCTTCTCAGAAAAGCATTTCCCGCATGCAGTACACTCATAGGGTCTCTCTCCAGTGTGTGTTCTGCGGTGCAGAATGAGTTGCGACTTCCTGCCAAAAGACTTCCCACACTCGTTACATCCAAAGGGCTTCTCCCCGGTGTGAGTTTTCCGATGGGCAATGAGGTAGGATCTCGCACTGAAGGTTTTCACGCACTCAGCACACTCATAGGGTCTCTCCCCTGTGTGTCGCCTCAGATGTTCAACAAGGTTTGATTTCCTGCAGTACGCTTTCCCACACTCGGGACATTTAAAGTTTTTATCTCCCGTGTGTGTTCCTTTAAGGCCAGCAAAGCCTGCCTTCTCATGGAAGCCTCGCCCACATCCATTGTACTCAATTTTTTGATCCAAAGTTTGAATCCTTGTAGGCTGCAGAAGGTTGCTGCCACGCCTGCGGCCATGACGCCTGACAGAACTGTTGCCACATAGCCGCGAGAGAGATCCTTTGAAAGCAAATCACAGCATGTCAGCATGTCACGCTACTACGTAAAATCTCAAACAGCTTCCCCATTACAGGATAAAATCAAACTCCTTAAGATGACCTTAAAATGCTACATCATTTGGCCCCCTGCTAACTCTATGATATCACCTCTTAACATTCTCACCCTCTCTCATCCTCTCCTGTCGCTAGCCCTAGGACATACCTCTCAGACTGGGGTTGGGCACTTCCGGTTCTCCCTGGTCAGATAATCACAGCTCACATGACTCTGAGTGTCTCACTTCACTGATGTTTGTGCATTAACGTTAACCTCACCAAAACATCTTCCCTGGCCACATTCCCCAAACTCCACATCTCTGCCTGTCCTTCTTACCTTGCCATGATTTGGTTTTCACCACCAAACCTATTACATATTTCTTGGTTTCTGATCATTTCCCCCTCTGCAGGCTGCAAGCTCCAAGAGAACGGAGATATTATTTTATTCACTGCCGGATCCCCACACCTAGAATGTGACCAGCATACAGTGGATATTTATTTAGAGTTTGCTGGATGACTACAGGAATGTGTGAATGAATGCTTGGCAATTAGAGGCCGGAATGAATGTCTAAGACGAAGCAGAGATAAGTAAGAGTGGTAAATAACTTCATAAACATCAAGATAAGGTGGTGCTGTGCGGGTTTCGAGGGAAGGTTAGTGGGCGGCTTGCACCTGCTGAGACGGCCCCTCAAGGACAATGGCGGAGGGAGACAGTTGCAGCACCAGCCTGTTGGCTGCAGAGACTGCAAGGGTGGAAGAGCAGCTGCAAGGAAGGGCAGAAGCGATGCTGATGGCCAGGAAAGTCCTCTGTTGGCAAAGAGCCTGGTTTCCACCTGCCCTCATAGGTGTGGTTTCTTTGGTGTTTCTGATCATCTACTATCTCGGTCCATCTGTTCTGTATGGTGTTTCCCGATTTTGCTGTGTGTTTGTGCTTGACTGACTGCCTTGTTCCTATTCTAGCACCTAGAATTTTTGGTTCCAATCAAGGGGCCACTGAACAACAGAGTCCAGGAAACGTGCAGCTACGTATTGAAAACTCAATGAAGAGCTGGGGGCTGGTGCAAACGCCTCTTTACACTAAAAGAAAAGTGTAAAATCTACTTCGTGACCATGATCAGTTCTCTTGCTGTGGTTGCTTGGGTGGGACAGCAAGTCCACAACCTGCTTCTCACCTGCCTCATAGTGACTTCCTCACTGTTGCTTCCTGGACTGAACTAATATGGAATAATTTCAAAGTACACTGGGAGAGCCAAAAGGGAGATAAACAAGCTTCTCAAACAAAAGGAAAAGCAAAATGAACAATGCACCTGCTCTGTTTAGTGTGTTTAAAGGAGGATGTACTGTCCCTGGAAACCATTTCTCCTTTGCTATCTGGATAGTAAAATGTTACGGAAGTCCATCTTTGCTCTTTCTCACTCTGCCCTTAGTTAATGAAAATTCAGACTTGCCAAGTAAGGCTTTGTGCATAGTGTCTGCTTGTTGACTATAGCTGGGTGTGATGAACTGTACCCTTTAGTGCATTTACAGCAACTTTGGCAATTGTCGGAGTTAGTCTTTGCTTTAGCCAACACAGGATAGTGGTCTGTGGCTACAGGAAGCCATCTGCTTCCACAGTCTGCTTAAAATACTGCCTGACTTTCTGACTGCAGAGACCAAGTTTACCATTTTTGATAAAGAGACCAGTTAAGGGTCATTCCTCTTTCTGTTTCTTTACCGTGGGAGAAGAATCCCCATGGAATAAAATGAAACTAATTCCAGGCTTAGCCTGTGCAGGTTTCTCCCATGTGAAAACCTTAGCAATTTATGGGAAACACTGACCCTTCTTCCCAAAATGGGGGTGTGTGACAGGCTCAGATATCCTGTCCCTTTGCACTTACACTTCAAGCTAGTAAATCTTCAAAGGCTTTTTTTTTTTACAGCAGATTTCCAAGAGATTATATTCAGGATGTTTAGCATCCTCTTTATTTCTGATTTGCTGCTGACTTCTAAAGTACACAGCAGGTTGAGACTCATGTCTGTGACCTTTACTCCGAGACAAGCCAATAAAGGACAAAAGTCTTCCTATGTTTAGTCAAGATTCGTTTCAGTAGAAAATGATCTTATCCTGCTAATTCCTGAGACCAGAATAAATCTCTAAAGGGAAGCTTCAAAATTCCCACGACAAATACCGGCCAGATTCCGGTTCCCACAGGTCTGGCATAGGAGTCTGCTTGTGTCTGACTTTCTTTCCTAGGTATTGCTGTGAAAACATTCAAGAGCTGTGGGTGACCCCTGTTCTACATTAGGTGTTGTAACTCTTTGGGAAGTTTCTTACAATCCTTCTTTCCCTCTTGGTATCTTGAAGTTCACAGTAATTGACATCTGTAGGAACAAGCCTCTAAGGGCCAAAAATGTGAAATATTTGGGAGCAGTTCTTCAACTGATTAACTAGCTGTTAACACAGTTTTGTGAACTCATGGCACTAATGTTGCAAAACCTGTACCTTATGGTATATCTGTCCCTAAACAGGTGTTGCTCCCTCTTTCAATTCTGCTATGAACAGTGGCTCCCATTGTAGCACGTGTGTTGTTTTTTTATGCTTTTTATGAGCACTACCTGAACTTTACATGTGTTTCCTCCTTGTTAATAAGCCTGTCTTCCTATGCAGATTTTTTTTGTGTGTATGAATATACGATCTACCTACCGGTTAACTACTTTTTCGGTTTTAATCCTGTATTATTTCTTCCACTTTAAGTAAAAGGAGGAAAACAAAAACCAACCAACCAAACAGCAAAGCTGGAATCTCGAAAAAAAAAATAAATCAAGATAAAAGAAGAGAGCAGGACGGGTGCTGTGGCTCACTTGGTTAATCCTCCACCTGCGGAGCTGGCATCCCATATGGGCACCGGGTTCTAGTCCCGGTTGCTCCTCTTCCAGTCCAGCTCTCTGCTCTGGTCTGGGAAGGTAGTGGAGAATGGGCACCTGCACTTGCATGGGAGACCAGGAGGAAGCACCTGGCTCCTGGCTTCAGATCGGTGCAGTGCACTGGCCGTAGCGGCCATTTGGAGGGGGGTGAACCAACAGAAGGAAGACCTTTCTCTCTGTCTCTAACTCTGCCTGTCCAAAAAAAAAGAAAAATAAGAGAGAACTGAAGTGTGAGCATGGCACTGGGATGTGTGGTCCAGGCATGTAAAGTGCGTAGACCTTCTATTCTCATGCTCAAAGAGCTAGGGCCTCTAAAAAGAGATGCCCAGAAAATACTGCACAAGGATAACTTTTGACTTGGATTCCGGGGGTTTTATTTCCCCTATTTTCCACATGTCTGGTTCTTGCTCACTCACCTGGATAACCATGACCTGAAGACTCCTATTATCCACAGCTCTTCTCCTCGCTCCAACTTGAAGATCATCTCTGGTTTGGCCACGCAGAGGCCTGTTAATGGGAAATGGCACAGGACGCGGGCCAAGCTGTCTGAGTTTAGGGCCTCTGATGGAGGAGGAAGGTGCATCTTCATGAGCTGCACAAGGAGGGGGGCCCATTGAAACCTTTCATCTGGGGAAGTCAGAACACACGCATTGTTCCCGCTGCCCTAAACTCATCAGGCGTCTGTGACCTCTAAATCTGAAACTCAAACATCACAAAGCTTTCCAGAGGCTGCACACAGTCCAGCAACCAAGAAAGGAAACACACGCTCCCCGGAATTACAGACACACTCATTCTCACCCACAGATGCCAGGTTGCTGTAGGTCTCCAGCATCACATCCTTGTGCATGGTCCTCTGAGCAGGATCCAGTCTGTGCCACTCCTGTCTGGTGAAATCCACAGCCACATCTTCAAAGGACACAGAAGCCTGGAACAATCTGCAATTATCAGAAGGGGATGCGTGGAGAAGAGGAGTGGCAACTAATCCCCTGGATGGAGCTCTGTTGACAGTTGATGAGAAAGAGCCACACGGGATAACCCACTCTGTGTCTTGCTTGGTATTATATTTTCTGGTGAAAGGAAGCCTCCAAAACCCCTCCCACTATGCTAATTTGTTAATTCATGAAGACAAGACTGAGACTGCTGAGTTAAGACTATGCGCTACACCTGTGCAAGCTGCTGGGGAAACAAGAATGAGGAAGCTACAGGACCTCACTCACAGGAGCAATCCTGGACACCAGACAGGAGCATTGGGGCTGAATCTCACAAGGGAAGAAACTGACTTCCATTTGGTGTTATCAGACTGCACCTCACTGGGGAAGTAGCACTTGAATCCTTAAACAAAAATACTGTTTTCTCCCGACTATGAGGTGACAGCGTGAGAAAAGGCAAGACATGAAACATATATGATGAGTTCATGAAACTACATACAGGGGTACTCCAAAAGGTGCATGGAAAATAGAATTAAAACATAACTTTGGGAGTAGGCGTATGGTGTAAGGTACTACTTGGGATACCCATATCCTAAAAGGTTCATTTCTAAAGATCAACAAAATAAACGTCTAGCCAGACTAACAGAGGACAAAAATACACAAACTATCGATATCAGAAGTGAAAAGAGAAAATCACTATATATCCCATAGACATTAAAAGTGAGAAAACGGAATGAATACCATCATCCACATAAATTCAGCAACTTACATGAAATGGACTAATTCCAAGAAATGCAAAACAAATGCCAAAATTCACTCAGGGAGAAGTAGGTAACTTAAAAGAACATCTGTTAAGAAAACTAAATTTGTAGTTTCAGGGGCTGGTTTTTGGGGTAGCAGGAGAAGCTACTACTTGCAAGGCCAGCATGCCATATCAGAATTCCAGTTCAAGTCCCAGCTTCTCTATTTCTGATCCGGTTCCCTACTAACATGCCTGGGAAAGCAGCAAATGATGGCCCAAGTCCTTGGGATCCTGTCACCCACAATGGAGACTTGGATGGCATTCCAGGCTCTTGGCTTCAGCCTGTCCCACCTCTGGCCACTGTAGCAATTTAGGGAGTGAACCTGTGAATAGATGATTCTCTCCCTCCCTCTCTCCCTCCTTTCAAATAAATAGATCTCTTATTAAAAGATAAGCAAATTTGGGGCTGGCACCCTGGCACAGTAGGTTAATCCTCTGCCTGCAGTGCCAGCATCCCATATGGGTGCCAGTTCTAGTCCCAGCTGCTCTTCTTCCAGTCCAGCTCTCTGCTATGGCCTGGGAAAGCAAAAGATGGCCCAAGTGCTTGGGCTCCTGCACCCGCATGGGAGACCAAGAAGATGAACCTGGCTCCTGGCTTCAGATTGGTGCAGTTCCAGCCGTTGTGGCCATCTGGGGAGTGAATCAACGGAAGGAAGACCTTTCTCTGTTTCTCCCTCTCACTC